CCCCAAAACCCCAAAACCCCAAAACCCCAAAACCCCAAAAGTTTGTACTAGAATTGAAAGCTTAGGATTCTGCTTAGGTCTAACTATGGTAAAATCTTAAAGAGGAATTCCCGAAATCTAGCGAGACTTTGATGTATCTCTTAGTCTCTAAGTTCGCTGGCGACACCAGCGATTAAATCATAAGAGTATGTACCTCTGTTGTTCCGAGGATTGATCATATTCATTCTTTGTGAAGACTTCAAGTCAGGAATCTCTTTTCCAATCTTATATGACTGATAGTAGCCTATAAATGTAATGGGCTACACATACGGTTCTGATCGCCAAGGAGATCAAGCTGGCCTCCTTGATGAGTATTGTGATTTTCCATTCTGTTCCTGCTCATGTTTGCCATTGATCTCTTCTTTTCGAAATTGGCTACTTCGTACGGATGGTTTGAATCATAATTATATTTTCCCACATTCAATGGCTTCTTGAGGTCTCCATTTTCATAGGCTGGCAGGATATTGCTGGCTAAACCAGGTAACCAGGAAGAGCTTACCTGAAGTAGTCAGGCAGTTATTCTGCCTGCTATTCCTCAAATGCTCAAGGTTTGATGATCTGTTATTCAGTTCTCTCTTTGGAGCATTTAGTTTGTTTGAAGATTCCTGATTCTGAAGTTTTGAGTAAACATTAGAGTCTATTCCAGCATTGGAGTACCTCTTGCTGCTAAATTTGACATTGCTGCATACACTAAGGCTTACTTATGAATATGGTTCTGACGACTTTTTGGGTTGAGTGGAGGCAGAGGACTCTGTTTCTTCTCCTCGATGAGGAAGAAGTTCTTCCTATCCTCCTCTAATTGATCATCCTTGGTGCACTCTTCTTCTTCCTCTGGAGGGAAGATGTTTGCTCCAGAGTTGGAATCAGTTCTATTTTGAATGACAAAGCTTACCTATTTTTTTTTCTTTGATGAAGAATGATGCCTTACTTTTGGATCAATAAAGTCTGATATCTGTTGGATGTCTAGGTTCGGGTCCAATGCAGTAGGAGGCTTCAAAATTTTGTTTCCAAGTCTACCTAAGTATGACCCTCTATTCTCACTTCTTGAGTGAGAATTATGGTCTCGTGAGGCTTGGCCCAAAAGATTATATGAGTTTTGTCGTAATCCAGAAGTGCAGATGTTCCTATCATAGGGACATTTCTTGACACCTGTGCTGAAGTTTCCACCATAGCCGTACGGTGGCTGATATTGGTATTTAAACTTCTTAGCATTTCTTCTGAAACCCATGTTGATTATGCCAGCTGGCTTATTATCCCGATTGCCTTTCTTCTTCCTCATGAATTCTATGAAATCTGCTGCAGAGTTTTGCTCGTTGCTCATCTTGAAGAGATCATTTTCAACATGATTATCCTTCTTAGAGACCCCTGCATAGGGTAGCTGGGAGATTTTTGAAAGGCTGAAGGGTTGTTCATACTGCTTCATGACGCCACCATATCCTTTCATAATGGAAGGCCGAGCGCCTTCTATATCACAGATGTTCATGTAATCTCTTCGGAGTTCTTTTGATGTGAACTCGGTAGGTCTGGCACCTTCTATATCACGAATGTTCATAGTTTAGTTTAAATATATTTATTAACAGATTGGGGTTTTGGGGTTTTGGGGTTTTGGGG